TTTGAGAAATCTTTAAAAAACTTCTTTCTTATATATAAAATTTCATTAAAAAAATTGATTTTTTTTAAAGAAATTTTATATATAAAAAAGAAGGTTTTTAAAGATTTTTCAAAAACCACCAAGCTAATTTTAATGTTCTTACTACTATTAGATGCCTCTTAATGAGCTCTACAACTTTTGTTATAAGCTCAAGAGTGATTTACTTAGTAAGAAAAAAAGTTTTAAATAGGCGTACTCCACATTCGCACTTATAGTAAAATTTATATATAAAAAAAAAATATTTTGTTTAGATGACTCATAATTTGTCTATTAATGTAATCATTTATTTAATAAAGTAATTTTTTAATTTAATTAATAGATATTAGGATGATAAGAATAAGATTTATATATAAGATGGTTAATATCTTTTAATTTTTTCATCAACTTAAAATTTTATTAAAAAAAAGCATTTGCTGAAATCAGAAAGCAGTAAAATAGGTGCTAAAAAGTCTAAGAAAAAGTCACGTAAACATAAGAAAAGAAAATATAAGGTTTATAAAAGATGATAACTTTAATATATCATTAACACAACAATAATCTATTATTTAGTGGATGTGAGTTATATAGTATAAGCAATTGTTTAAGCTGTCATGACAGTATTTAGTAAAGAGAAAGGAAGAGTAAGATCACCATCACCCTCAAGCTCTAGTAGTTCAGGAGCTACTAATAACAAAGATGAAAGTGAGGTTGAAGATAAATCAGTTAAAAGGAAAAGAGATAGATCGGTTAGTAAGAAAAATATAAATCAGGTAGTAGAGGTAGTAGTAGATCAGTTAGTAGAAGTACTAGCAGATCTAGTAGCAGTAGCAGCAGTTCAAGTAAAGATGTACTAAAAGTATTGACAGATGAGCAGAGGTCTCACTTATTAGTAAATATTATTTGTCTCATATTTGTATATTTGTTTGTTTTTTTACTTTTATTATTTTTTTTTTTAATATTAAGGTAATCACTCACAGATCTGGTATGGTTTATTAAACTTTAGTTTGATACCAGCATAGTCACATAGACAGTGCCTGATTTTGTTAAATTAACGAGAGTACATTCTAGCCATATCTGCACCTTTTGAGTACCTATTTAAGTAGTCTACTTATCTTAGATCTACACTAGATGCCGTACCTGTAACCCGACTATGAGATTATCTATTTAAACTCTCTGATCAACTTCATGGCATTAGATATCTTCCCTAAAGAGAAACCTGCCACTATAGCCTGCTAAGTCTTTAAAGCAAACACACATTTCCATATAGAGGGGTCCTTTGACCTTGTGGTAAACCTACTAGAGCGGTCCATGTCCTACACATGTATTATCTAGTTTTTCGGTAACTTATGTCTAGGCCGAGACCAAGTACTTGCGAGTCGAAGCCACTACTGTTACCTAATTTTTGCCTTGCAAAGTTCACTCAAACCCCAGTACCTACTTTACAGACTATTACCTATACTTCTGTCACTCCAAACTTCCAATTCAGATGGCCCAGAAGGGTTGTGACCTGCCCTGGTCCCATAATTGGGTTCTTTTCCTTCAGTCTCCTCTGGCGGCCTGGTTGGTGGAGTGCTTTTGCTAAACACTTCAGTCCCGTTCAGTTATCATTGCTTCCAGATGGTAATCTTTTACATAGTACTGTCAAAGATCTGTACTACCTTTCTACTCGAGACTTGCCAAGTGGGCTTCCATATCCCGTCAATTCACTAGATTTATTCGGTAGCTTCACTTGGGTTTCATGTAACTCATATGGCATACTAAATGTTCCACTACCTCCCAGTACAAGCTGGTGCAACCCTATTACAGATTCTAAAACCTAATAGGATACAGTCTTCCTAATGCATTCTGTAAATTTGAATTTCGTCACCAGTAGGATTCGAACTCTTGTCCTGCCGCTTAGGGATACGACAACTTTCCAACTTCACTAAGTCGCTACACCCGTTTTTTTTACTTTTATTATTATTATTGTTATTATAATTAATTTACTTTTATTATTGTTATTATTATTTTTTTTTTTAATTTTAAAAGGTGAGGCCATGCCTCTAACTTTATTAAAATTTAATCAAGCTCCTTTACAAGAAATATATACAAGAAAGAAATTATATTTAAACCTCATATCCAGAGGAAACTAAGACTAGAGACTTAGACACAATATTACAATACATAATAATATAATTATTTGTGACCTAAACCTATATTGTTATTATAATTAATTTATTTTTATTATTAATATTATTATAATTATTATTACTAAGGATGAAATTAAAGTATTAATAGAAGGTAATAAGCTATCTGACCTAAAGCCTGATCTGACTAAACAATGGGTTAGCCAATCATGGGACATAAGGCAAAAGCTGATTTTAGCTATTACAAAAAAATTACCAGGATATCGTCACCATTCTGGTGTGATTGAAAAAATTTTAAAACAACATCATAAATATAACATCAAACAGCAACAATAAATGCTAATCCAAAATTAAAGGCCTACAATCGCATCAGAATAGAGAAAAATAGTAAGATAAATGAGGTAAGCATAATAAAATTTGTCATATAAATTATTTTTTAAATTAATTCTAGAGTTACTTGACTAACAAATCATTTA